CACCTCCCACCTGTTCAAAAGCAAAACATATGACTTGCTGAACATTTTCTTATCGATAGATGCTATGATTTACTGATGCTCCCTAAACGCCCCACATAGCAGGCTGCGGTAGCTGCTGCTTGATGGCTGTGGTGTGCTCTGACAGCGGCCGAAATTACGTTAAAAATGATAAACTAGGGCATTTGCATGTCAGATTTGTCCGACTTTAAACCGAGTTACATGTATTCTACACGCGCTCTTTTCTACGAGCAGTCTTTTCTCCATTGACAGCAGGCCGATGCATTCATTTAGCCATCACAACAGTAGCTGTGATCTACTAGAAGAGGAGGAGAAAGGCCGTGACGGTGTCAGAAAACACACAGTTTAATTTTAAATCTGTTAATAATACAAATATTGTTAATATAGGAAAAGAATATGAACACTATTCATAATTTTATTATGTTGTTATTATTAATTCAAATTTAATTTTACGTTTGAGAACTACTTTTTACCTGGTCATTCGTAGTGGGGTGGCGCCCCTGTGCCCTGTATTAACCAGCCGCGACTGCCACACGCAGCCTTAGATCCTCAGGTTGGTTCCTCCTGATCGTTTCAAAGTTGAGGCTCAAATCCAAAGGCGACCGGGCCTTTTCTGTGAGAGCCCCTCGGCTTTGGAATGATCTACCTGAGGAAATAAGGCTTGCAAATTCAGTATCTTCTTCTAAATCACTTCTTAAAACCCACTTTTATGAACTCGCTTTCGAGGGATGTTCTCTTTTATTTCTCTTTTAGATTTTCGCCCATCGCTTTTCCCTTTTTTTATTGGTACTACCTGCTGTCCTCTCTTTTCTCTTCCTGAATCTACTTTTATCAAACTTTTATCTTCATCCCCCTCTGTGATATCATCTTTTTAATCAGTCTTTTCAATCAGTTTTACTAGTACACCTTTCAAGAGTGACTCAGTCTGTTCTTTTCCATTTTTATTGTGTGTAGAAAGTTTTAAAGAGAATTTAGAGAAGTGTTTGAGTGAATAATGTGTCATTTTGCTGTTTCATAAAGGAAAGAAGAACAGAAACCAGACTCTGAAGATATTTTGCAATAGGAAACAATCCAAACTCTGCATGCAATGATGGCACTTTTGCTTCATTTTATATGAACCTGGAACTGGTTTGCTGCATGATGACCATGAATCTGTGTGCTTCATGTGAAATGGTAAGATCCACTAAAGATAAATAACACATGGCTTTAAGGATACAGTTGTTCATATTTTTGGTGTTCTATGCATTACATTTATTTTGTTTTGAGAGACGAACTGCCCAGGGCTTCCCCTGCCTTCGTCTAAGTCAGCTCGGATAGGCTCCAGCCCCCCGCAACCCCAGTGAGGATTAAGCGGTGTATAGATTATGGATGGATGGATGTATTGAGAGATGAAGGACCTAGGTTTTAATCTTCTTGTCAATAAAAACATTCATCCATTATCTATTCACCGCTTAATCCTCACTAGGGTCGCAGGGAAATGGAGTCTATCCCAGCTGACTCAGGGCGAAGGCAGGAGACACCCTGGACAGGTCACCAGTATATCACAGGGCCACATAGAGACAGACAACCAAGCACACTCACAGTCACACCTACGGACAATTTAGAATCACCAATTAACCTCAACATGTTTTTGGACTGTGTGGGATGAACCCAGAGAGAACCCACGCTGGAGAACATGCAAACTCCATGCAGATAGATCCCGGTGTCCTCACCGGGACACGAACCATCGACCGTCTTGCTGCGAGGCAACGGTACTAACCACTGATCCACCTTGCAGTCCCAATAAAAACTTTTTTTTTTTTTTTTTTTTAAATACCAATTAGCATCATCAAACAAAGCACTAAGACTACCTCTTGACACAAAGCTGAAAATGCATTTCATACATGCATCTGATGAACAGGAAACTGTTTGTGTGTCTGTGTTAAAGAGTCTCATTGACACCGCTACCACTCTACATTATCTATCAAGAAGTATTCTCGTCTGTGGAATGAGTGTGCTTTGTTTAGTACCATCTTTTTGGAGACTGGTCATGGTGCAGTCTGTTGACCAACAGGGAACATAGCTGTTGTTCCCGCTGATCAAAGCAGACTGGGGGCTAAGCACTGTCAGTCCCAGTGTTCAGTAATGCCATTCTGTTTGGGATTATCACACCTGTGGGGCAGGGATTAATCCCAGCAGAGACATGGGAACCAGGGACGAGGGGGCTTCCAGAGGGCCAGTGTAGCAAGGGAGGATCAGGCCAAATGGATTCTGGGGCTTTGGCCTCATGACCTCTAGGTCCTTTTTAATGTCTGTAGGCCAACAACTTGATGCAGATGAGTCTCGGTCATCAGAACCACACTGGCTCTAAATTGTACACACCAGCTTTTGCTTTGGTGACTCTTGGTTTTGGGACTGTCTTGAGACAGAACTTTAAATGTTAAAGACATTTCACCTCTTATCCAAAATTCTTCTTTAGTTGTGTATTTTTTGTGTCATATTGTGATACAGAGCCATACAACTGGTATGCATACTAAGAACTTAACAGAGGGAAAATACAGCAGGTCAAACTCATGAATCACTTTTTTCAATTATTTATTGATCTGTTGGTTGTGATTGATGAAAAGTCAGTGCATCACAAAGTTATTAGAAATGACCCTGTTAGGAACATGCATATCCGTACAACCATTTTTTGGGCAGTTCAGCTTTTAATTGTTGAGACATTTTATTTCACTGGACTAACTGATAGACTGACATTGCAATCCCTAGAGCCCGAAGTAGTATCAAGGCTGGGAGACAAATATAGCTAATGCTGTTGTGTAAAATACACAACGGCTACCTTATCTTGACTGACTGTTACCATACCACGTTACTTCCAATAAAGACAATGACATTCTACTGAATGACAACACCATCCCAAAATATAACACATAAAGAAGTAAGGCAGTTTTTGGTGTCTAAATGAGTGACCACGCAAAGTCTTAAAAAATTTAGCTTTGTACTAATGTCTGACCCCGGACCTTCCAAGTGTGACTCAGCAGTATCATATGTCCATGCAAAATCAGCTTTCTGTCCTTAACAGACAAAGCAGAAAATCCTTTCCTTGTTTGCTTAGCTAATTCAAATGGCATTTTCCCCAGTCTGTGCCCTCTAAGCCAGTTTGTTAAACAGCTTAATGTCCCTGGCTGACATTACCCTAGTCCTCAGACCCTCCCCCTGTGACAATGGTCTCTCTCTCTCTCACACACACACACACACACACACACACACACACACACACACATTGACACAACAGTACACTACTCCAGCATGCCAGCATGGTACTGATACCTATTCTCTGTCACTGTTTCAAAAATTCAAAAGTGAACTCAACAACACACACACAACTGTGCAGCCATATGGGTTGCATCTTAAACACACCTCTATTGATCATGGGCAACATATAAGTTGAGGTGCCTCAGCCTGTTTGTGCTTGAGTCCAGGTCTGAGCACAGTGCCAAAATCTCAAGAACTCAGAGATATTATTTATATATTCTAGCAACAATTAGTTTGTTTTTTTTAAAAATATGCTTAATGCCAGGTCCAATATTAAGCCACCATTTTCCATATATATTATATGGTGTCAGCTATATCTAGTCTTACATCCACATTACGTAAAACATCTGAGTATGCCTCAAGCCCTATTAAATTGTATGACAAAATCTGTGTCATGTCATAACTGTCTTTCATATAAATAATGAACTATTGCATTTTGCACAGATATATTGCTCTGTGACATTTTAACCTTGATACTTAACTAACACAAACTATATATAGAGCGTGTCAAAGGTATGATTTGAAATATTACTACATACATTTGTTATGGTCAACACTCTGTATTTCTGTTAGTTGTTTTTCAAGTGTGTTTTGTTCCTTAGTGTGAGGTCCTGTCAGCCCATAAGCTATATTTTGGACACAATCTTTTATTTGGAGTATAAAAGTCAATTTCTTCGATTCAGTGATTTCCAGGTGTACTAACTAAAGAACCTGAATTGTTACTAGAAATACAAATGGTTACAAATGCTCTAAGAATCCATAGACCACATAATGAGGAGGCAACACAAACATCATCTAGGCATTATTTCATATGGGGCAGTCCTAGACGAAGCAACTCGGGAGAAGTAAATATTACGATGGGAAGATTCTTGGGGAGACATTTTGTCAACTCTACAATCTACTGTCTGCAGGGAGAGAAAAGAAAGCCACTTCTTCAACTGGCAAGATCACTGTCATAAATTCATGTGGTGTGAACAGAGACAATTTTATGTTAGTGAGAGATCTCTCTCTTTACTTCCTCTTTTGTTTCCCTGTCTTCTCTTCCTCTCTTTGTCTTTTAATCTATCACTCAGTGACCCTCTGTCTGCCTGTCTTTTGCTGAGGCTATTAGGGAGATGGTACCAGGCCTTCGGATTTCAGGTCTCAGTGATTTTACTTGACTTTCTGTTCAGATAAATTGCTAAAAACAGTCAAACTTTCTGTATGAATGAGGTAACTAAACCTGCAAGGGAAAGGATGCAGGACCAAGGCTCTGGGGTCATAACATAAGAAAAAACAGGAAAAAGTGTATCCAGGTCAGTTTACCCCAATCTCCCTCTATTTCCTCTGTCTCTCTCACTCTCTCTCTCTGTATTTTCACAAAAGAACTTCACTGTGTGTGGCATTCACAATAAAAGAACAAATCATCTAATACAATATCCAATGGCTAAGTTGGGCAGAGGCCAATCGGTGCTGAGCTCTGGCTCCTGATTTTCAAATCTTCTCCATCTCCTTTAGTGTCAAAGCATCACCAACTCACACGACATCATTACTCCTGAAATCTGCTTTTAGACACGCTGTACACTAAAAAACAAATAGAAAACCAGTTTCTTTTCTTCTTAACGTTTTTTAACTGTAGCATCACGAAGATACTGTCACCAGGCAGAGCGAGTGGGTGTGTACAGTTTATGCAGAAGGCACAGCAGAAGCATTGTATCATTGGGATAATACACACCTTTATGAAACTAAACGCTTTCACTGCACAGCAAACAACAGTGCTGTGCACAGAGCTGAGAGCTGACAATACAGTTTTGCTTTCAGCAAAAGCCCAAATATTTCCTCTGGAGAATTGTGTACAAAGTGGATTATTCCTGAGTGTTTACAATTTCCTGCTTAAATGCAACAATGTTAATCGTAGTGGAATTATTGTAAGAATCAACCTTATAAATGATAAGGTTGATTCTTACAATAATTCCATGAGTAAAGTAAATAAAAATGAAACAACAGACATAACAATGAATAAAGCCAGCTTATTATCATTTATGTATGGAAGGAAAGTCAGTGTATCCTGAAACATTCATTAAAAGCAAATATTTATTTTAAAAGTTGTCTGTCACTGCACTGTCTTCGGAAAAGGGCCTGCATATGTTGTATCATTGTAATTTGAGAGTAGTTCGGCTAAAAGCTGTGCACACTGTGAAGTGACACTTGTAAAGTTCCAATGGTCTCTGTCTGCAGTCTGATCTGTGAGCCCAGACATCAATGGACAAAAGCCCCTCCTCCTCACAATTACTCTGTATTTGTGCTTCTATGTTGCATGCTCTGTTTGTATTATGTCCTGGATTTAGTATTCTGTGTTGCACCGTACGCGTGTCTCTCTGGCCCCAGGTTTCCGTCTCTGTTTCTTTCCTGATTCTGTGGTACTTAGTTCTGGTTAGTTCTCAATCTGATATTTGATAAATTTGGAAGTTTAAGTCTTCATTGTCTTTTATAGTTTAGCAAACCATGCTTCTAATGTGTCAGTGTATTTGCATGATTGTTTCCCTATAGTTGTCGCCGTATCTCCTAGTCATTACATCAGTTCCCCTTGCCAGTACTAATCCTTCCTGCTCACCAATGATCGTTTATACAAATGAACTTACTTTATTTTAACATTTGTGTGCTGTGTTTTCTGTCTGCATGTGGGTCTCAGAATTTCTGTAACATTTGACAATTGAAAACTTGAAAATAATTTAAAATGCAAAAAAAAAACACAACTCAAGCTAGCAGAAGAACAGCTACTATCAACCCTTCAGCCCAGACATGCAGGCTCCACATTGCTGCACCTGTAAGCAGAAGAGGGGGGAAAGAGAGACAAAAACACAGATTCAAATGGAGCAAAAAAAAAAAAAAAAACAAATCACATCTTCCCAACTGTTTCATGCCTTTAAATATTACCTTCAACTTTCTTTAAACGCTGTTTTTCATTTAATAACTTCACTGTTAGAAATGTTGCAGTTAAAAATGAGAACTTCTTTTATTAACCTTTCACTGCAGTCATAATGCCCTGTGTAAGGTGCTTTACTTTTCAAACAACTGTTTGAAAAATTGTAATATGCATCTGTGAACAAAGCAATTATACATTCTATCCATGAATCCATCAGATGCTGCTTACTGCCTAGTTTATGTTTGATAATAGTTTCTAATAAATGAAGATACTTTAGTAATGTTTAAGGTCGTGTACATCATTATTTATGAATCTGTGGCTCTCATGTTAAAAGTTGTAAACCTGCAGTACATTGCTTTTCCAGCAGATGTCCACAGCTCCACACAACTCATGTTCACTCTAAAACATTCTAACCACTGTTCTTTTGTCAATAGGTCAAAAATGACTTTGCTTTTACTTTAATTTGACATTAAATCATTAGACAACTTCAATCGCAAAAACTACTTCACATTCAATGCTTTTAAAAGAGAACATTTCAGAAATGTTTGTCTTACGTTGTGTATACACTGATCAGCCACAATATTAACACCACCTGCCTAAAAAGTTCATGCTGCCAAAGCAGCTCTGACTCATCAGGGCACAGATAAGACCTCTGTCTGGCACTAGGACACTGTCAGCATCCTTTGGGTCCTGTAGGCTGCAGAGTGGGCCCTCCGTGGATTTGGTTGTTCAAGTGAATTCTCGATTGAATTGGGACCTGGAGAGTTTGGTGGGCAGGCCAACACCTCAGGCTTCTTATCGTGTTTGTCGAGCTGTTCCTGAGCAAGTTTTTCTACAGTGGTGGGTTACATTGTCCTTCTGGAGGAAGTTATTGCAGTCAGGGCGTTCCGTTGCCATTTAAGGTGTTCTTAGTCTGGAACTGTTACGGCAGGTTGGGGAACCCATGTGCAGACAGGCAGGGGGCGTGAACAAAGTGATTTATTAGAAAGGAATGAAACGGAAGACAACAGAGTGAGGAAGCTAAACTGAGAGGAGGAGCAGAGCAGGGCAAACTAGATGTAATTCACAAAGAGGGCAAAACTACAAAAAAACTAAGAGAGCTCTAAACTAAGAACAGCGGGCAAAGCTATGATAAAAAATACGAAGCTAACTAAACCAAACGGGTATACTCACAGAACAAGGCATAAAAACTGAAGGGGGCAGACAGGCTTGGGAAATCCAGAGTCTGAAGTGGGGTTGTGGAAAGCAGGAGCAGAGCTGGTGGCAGGTACCGGCTAGTTGTGGCAGGGTTGGGGCAGCGAGTGTGTATTAGTTGCAGGGGGGTTCAGGTTGTGGTGGCTCAGGGAAGGCAGGCAGGACACAGCTTGATGACCAACAGGGAAACGAGGTGTGTGTGTAGCGGAATAAGCTGAGTCGTAAATAGAGCAGAAGGCGATTGTGGACACAACTGTCTCCAATTCTTGGAATCAAGCAGTCTGCATGGAGGGCTGGGTGGACAGAGTGTGTGAGCAAGGAAGAGGGAGAGGTAGAGAGAAGGGGAGAAGAGAGTAAGAGGAAGAGAAAAAGGAGGCAGGCAAGGGCTGAGGCTGAGGCTGAGGCTGGGGCTCATGACAGACACGATGTTTGAGCTGGGTGATACTTTTTAAAGGAACACCCACATGGATGTTAGAATGCAAGATTTCCCAGTAGAACATTGCATGTTAACAATATGATCAAGGTTATTCACCTGTTTCAATGTGGTTTTAATGTTGTAGCTTAACAGTGTATTTCAGTACGTAGGCTTGTAATGTATTTGTAAAAAGACAATATTACTGCCAATCCCATTTGTATTTTTGCCAAACATTAGAATTCATTTCAATTATTTACCAAAGAAAAAATTTAATTAAACTATACAGGACAGAGAAAAAGAAGGAAACACTTGGTTTCTTTGTCCTTTTTCTTCGACTAGTTCCTTTTTCAGACCTATATATTCATAAAATTTAATCTTTCTGCTTTACATGCATTGCTGTACTGTTACTGTACTACTCACTGGCATGGAGCAATGAATAAAACAAAATGAAGGCCTATGTAAATAGCACCAGATGCTTAATGGATGGATAGTAGTCCATTTGGCTATGTTTTTACTTTGGAAATAACCGGATAAAGGATATTGCTCAAATATGTACAGGCCTTTGGAGCGCTGCAGAGCTTCTTTTAACTTACCTTTGTTTAAAATCCAGGTGGTATTCAAAGTCATTCTTATAGTAGGGTTGTGGCTGAGACAGGTCACAGAATGATAAGGTCCTTCAGGAATATGTATAGTGCTGTTGAAACTGTAGAGACTATCATGAGGGTCCTGCATTGCTGTATTGTGTGTATCCTTCGAGTCTATAATATTGTAGGAGTTGTTAGAGAAGTGGAGCATCCACTGTACCAAAGGTTCAGGAAATCCTCTTTTTGTAGTGCACACTGCTGTCATTGTTTCAAAATTTAAAGCCAGACTGACGTTCTTGTAAGGGACTGGAGAGAGACAGAAGCACAGTGTAGTTAAGGTCTATGACAAAAACATTATCCCCTCAATTACCTTTAAATATATAGAAATGTTTGACAATAATGTGATAGTAATTCACTTTTTTGTGACATGGAAAAGCAAGTTGCTGTCCAAGGCTAGAAGCACCTCCAAAACATTTTTACTCCTAAAGCTACAACAAGTGGATGGCTACTTTACCGAAGCATAATTTACATAATTTGTTGTAGTATAAGAGTGATACAGTTATCACACACACACATGAACAAAATTGTTGGTACCCCTCGGTTAATGAAAGAAAAACCCACAATGGTCACAGAAATAACTTGAACAAAAGTAATAATGAATAAAAATTCTAAGAAAATTAAGCAATGAAAATCAGACATTGCTTTTGAACTGGGGTTCAACAGAATTATTTAAAAAAATAAACTCATGAGACAGGCCTGGACAAAAATGATGGTACCCCTAGAAAAGACTGAAAATAATGTGACCATAAGGACATGTTCAATCAAGGTGCGTCCTCTAATTAGCGTCACAGGTGTCTAAAAACTTGCAATCAGTCAGCTGGCCTATTTATAGGGTTACAAGTAGTCACTGTGCTGTTTGGTGACATGGTGTGGACCACACTAAACATGGACCAGAGGAAGTGAAGCAGAGAGTTGTCTCAGGAGATTAGACAGAAAATTATAGACAAGCATGTTAAAGGTAAAGGCTATAAGACCATCTCCAAGCAGCTTGATGTTCCTGTGACTACAGTTGCACATATTATTCAGAAATTTAAGATCCATGGGGCTGTAGTCAACCTCCCTGGACGTAACCGCAGGAGGAAAATTGATGACAAATCGAAGAGACGGATAATACGAACAGTAACAGAAGAGCCCAGAACAACTGCTAAAGACATTAAAGGTGAACTCCAAGGTCAAGGTACATCAGGGTCAGATCACACCATCCGTCGTTGTTTGAGCCAAAGTGGACCTCATGGGACACGACCAAGGAGGACACCATTGTTGAAAACAAATGATAAAAAAGCCAGACTGCAATTTGCCAAACTGCGTTTTGACAAACCACAAAGCTTCTGGGAGAATGTCCTATGGACAGACGAGACAAAACTGGAACTTTTTGGCAAGGCACATCAGCTCTATGTTCACGATGCAAAAATGAAGCATATGAAGAACAGAACACTGTCCCTACTGTGAAACATGGAGGAGGCTCTGTTATGTTCTGGGGCTGTTTTGCTGCATCTGGCACAGGGTGTCTTGAATCTGTGCAGGGTACAATGAAATCTCAAGACTATCACGGTATTCGAGAGAGAAATGTGCTGCCCAGTGTCAGAAAGCTTGGTCTCAGTCGCAGGTCATGGGTCTGGCAACAGGATAATGACCCAAAACACACACAGCTAAAAATACCCAAGAATGGCTCAGAGGAAAACATTGGACTATTCTGAAGTGGCCTTCTATGAGCCCTGATCTAAATCTTATTGAACATCTGTGGAAGGAGCTGAAACATGCCGTCTGGAGAAGGCACCCTTCAAACCTGAGACAACTGGAGCAGTCTGCTCGTGAGGAGTGGACCAGAATACCTGCTGAGAGGTGCAGAAGTCTCATTGACAGTTACAGAAATCATTTGATTGCAGTGATTGTCTTAAAAGGTTGTGCAACAAAATATTTAGTTAAGGGTACCATCATTTTTGTCCAGGCCTGTGTCATGAGTTGTTTTTTTTTTTAAATAATTCTATTAAACCACAGTTCAAAAGCAATGTCTGATTGTCATTGGTAATTTTCATAGATTATTTTTTTATTTATTATTACTTTTGTCAGATTCAAGTTATTTCTATGACCATTGTGGGTTTTTCTTTCATTAACCGAGGGGTACCAACAATTTTGTCCATGTGTGTATCTATTTAATGTGGTCATTGAGCTCACTCAAAAGCTATTCTTGTTTGTTATTTGTCTTTGTTTTGGTTATCAAAGGTAAAGTCACGGTCCAAGCTGCTGGATCTCTTATTGTTCCTGTACATGCTCCTGTTGTAGAACGCTTATGACAGACAGTATCACTCTTCTCATCTATTAAACTATTTCTGTAAAGAAAAGCAACACGTTCATCCTTACCTGCAACATGTAAGTTACTTTCGCAGATCAGTCTCTGCCTCCTCATCCCTCCACTCTCAGAAACTGCAACAAAAGCCTGAAAAATTCTCCCGTTATCTTCAAGTGTTAGGTTTTTTAATTTGACTGAAACATTTCCTGTTTTCATGTCCTGTGGGAAAGCTGTGATCCTGTGCAGATAAAGTTCATTTGCATGCTCTGCCATGGCCCTTCCTTCTTTGAAAGAATACAAAACAACATTTCTGTCATCTTGCCAGTAAAAGCGTAGATTCCTCAGTTCAGTAGGATACATGTTCGCGCTACATTGGAGAAGCGCTGAGTCCCCGACAGTAGCATTGATATCATGAACCAAAGTTCCATCAGACACTGAAAGTGCTGTAAGAAAAGTACAAAGTTAAAGAATCTTAACAAATGTCCTGTTGTCAGCCTCACACACTGCGACACCATCAACATTCCAGTACTGAATATTACAATCTTCATGTTTCAGGCTAATTTAAAACTGTCATTTTTTAACTGTATCTCAGTGAATGGGAAAAGTGTGCACTAAAACATCATAAAAATGCAGATAACTTACCTAACAGGAGACAGCATGCCACTAAAACAAACATTCCTGAGTAGACAAGCTCACTTGCCAGTGTCAGCTGGATTCTAGGGAAAACTAAATAAAGTGTTAATCTTGGATGTTCAAGCGAAGCAAAGACCAACAGGCTGCTACTTCCTCTTTGGATGCAAATGGATAAGATCACTGGGCTTTCCACTGCTGCGTGCTAAAAAGCGAAAAACGGCCTGAGTGCTGGGCGTTGCATGATTTCCTGTGTACATGTGACTTGGTCACGCATTTTCCTGTTGCCCATGATAAGAGGCGTGGAAAAAGCCCATGGCTGCCTTGTATGTTCTTCATAAACCTTTTAACCTGCCCAGTGTTTAAGGTTTTATTGTTTGTCCGTCTGTTACTGGCTGCTTATCTTTTCTCCCTCCACTCTCTTCTCACTCCAAACAGTTGAGCCAGAAGCCCCTCTCCCTGAGTCTGTCTGAGGTTTCTTCCTGTTAAAAGAGAGCTTTCCAACCCACTGTCATGAAGTCCTGCTTAATAGGAAATTATTTAGTTCATCTCTAGCACAGTGTCTTGTTGTTATTTAATATTGATTTTATTATTTACAGAGTTGTTTGTTATTTATCCTAGAACAAGTTTCAGCTTTGTAAAGACATCAAGACTTTATCAGAGCTGAGTGTAGTCAGTGCTCGAGTTGAAGGGGGATGAGGGGGGATGGCTTCCCCCCTGAAAAAAAAATGGTAAAAATCAACCCCCCTCTCAAACGGCCATCCCCCCTTTCCATCCCCAGCCATTTTTACCAATGAATGTGGAAATATTACTACTATTCTGAATTTCTGACAATGGAAATATAACCACTATTCCAATATTTAGGGGGATTTGCGTTCAAAGGGACCGTTCTTTCAGCCATCAAGTTGCGCTCGCATCCACTCTGTTGATAATTCCACACTGTGGGACAGCAGGCACGCGCGAATGTGACACAGCGTTTCTTTTTTCTTTTTCATGAACGTCAGTGAGCGGCGTAGTCGCGCAAGTAGTGGTTTTAGTACCATGGCCAAGCGACAAGGACAGCTCGATCTGAGGGACTTTGGATTTAAGAGGAAAAAAGTAACATTTTAGGTCAGTAAAAAGTCATGAAAATCAGTCATTACTTTCCATAAACCAACCATTCTGTCACCAAATGTGTCATCTCTGGACGTAGTGATAACAACACAGCTAATGATGCTAGCGGTTCCTGGCTGACTCTGGTCAATGGGGTTTAGTTTTGCTTTTATCAGTCTGGGCTGAGCACGATAACGTTTGTCTGGGATTCTCCAGGCTATAGAAACAAGTGAAGAGTTCAACATTAACGTCATTTATCATAGTGAAAGGAGAAGTCACATACTGTAGTCACATGAGTAAAATCAGAACGTACAGGCCTTAATGAAAATCATTAGTATGTGCTTAACTTTAAACAGTCTCTCAAAACCTTGTGCCTGCTTTGGGAGCAAATCTCAATTTATAATAATCTTTATTTGGCCAATGCTGTTTTCTTACAGATGATGAAACGGAACCAGCAACGCCAGAAGAGCTAAAACCCCTCCTTCAAGCTGTGAACACACTGGTCATCTCCACAGCTGAGTGTGAGCGTGGCTTCAGTCACATGAACATTTTAACCACAACTGGAAGCTCCCGAGAATTAAAAAGCACGTCAGCCTTGCTTTTCATCAAGTGCGCTGGCCCTCCATTGAAAGTGTTCAAACCAGATGTCTATGTCAGGTCTTGGCTTCAAAGCCATTGTCTCGCTGATGATCCAAAAGCAAGAGAGCGGAAAATTTACTACAAAAAACATGAAAATCTTTGGAAACTTCTGTGAATTAGGGGAGAACTGGGCAGGCAGCTATTGAAAAAAACTGATTAGTTATCCATTTTACTTTTCCTATTTTGTCTTTTGAGGCTCGCCACCTCAAGTTTAAAAAATCTCAGGTGTTGGTGTTGTGTATTTTTGTACATTTTTTATATTAATTTTCAAATTTTGTAAATTGTTTCAACTAGTTCATTCAGTTTTTTGCATTTGAATTAAAATGAACTTGACCTGACTTGAGAGGATTCAGAGTTTCATTTGAAATTTTTGTGAGTTTTTTTTTTTTTTCACACTTCAGGAGATGAATTACCAAATGATCTCAAAGTACCATGAGTATGAAATTGCGCTTCAACTCAGTAGGAAAAGTGGTCCTCTGCATTTACTTCTTACTATGTAGGAGCAGTGATAGGCATGCCAGCCTGGGGGCTGACTCCAATTTTGAGGTATGTTGGTCAAGATCAATTACAGGAGAATTTGACATATAACATCCATGCCATAAATATTGTTCTAGGATAGTAAAATAATTATCTTTGAGCTTTAACAAGAATAAAAAGGCTACATAGTTTGTTTCACATCATATGCACTGTCGTCAGGGCAAAATATCCATCCCAAAAAATAAAATCCACCATCCCCCCTGAAATTTTTTTACAACTCGACTGCTGAGTGAAGTGTGAAGAAAATTCTTCAGTGGAGTCCTAGCTGCTGTAAATCAGCACACAGAGTCGTCTCTCAAGTCAAAGCAAAGTTTTACTTGCAGCAAGGAGCAACGTGTACAGTATAGATGCTGAACAAGAGACTGAAAACTCTCATGGTATTTTGACAACCCACGAAGAACAGCTTGTCCTTATCTCACACTCGCAAAGTTCAACAGAGGTAATGGACATTTACAGCATGAACTCATAGACTTGTCACAAAGATCATTGGGTCAGAACATAGAATTATTGCAACATTCCCTCCTGTTTATGATTACAATGTTCTTTGTTTTCAAATGCTTTCACATGTGGACACAGAACCCCCAAGACAGATATCACCATGAGGTGACACCATCCACATAATCCTGCTGTCTGTCAGCAACATCTCACGTGGAGCGTGTGAGCATCCGAGAGGCACAGCTGGACAAAACAAGAGCATTTTGTTTACAAAGAAGATCTCGAAAGCTAAGCAGGGTTGGGCCTGGTTAGTACTTGGATGGGAGACCGCCTGGGAATACCAGGTGCTGTAAGCTTTTGATGGACTGTTGTTTACGGCCACACCACTGTGACAACGCCCACTGTTTCTTTCAACCAGGAAGTGTGACAGCAGGTGGAGCACAGGAGAGAGAGCTTTCACGTCTCAGCATTTTGATCGGTAAAACTCTTTTTTCATTGACTTTTTAACAGTCACAGACAGTGCAACCCCCCTTGCAGCTTCTGCTGTTTAGGGGGGCGTATTTTCTGAGTCCTCCTTGATCTGGGGGTGAAATGTTTGAAGACCACATGGTGCAGAAAATGGTTGGTGAAAAGAAGAAGGAAGTTGTCGGAATGGAACAAGGGAAAGCTGAGGAACTGAAAACACGGAGTGCAGAGAAAGAGAAAACGAAGACGTTGAATACAGAGAACGAGAAGGAGAACGTGCAAGAGGGAGACACTCAAGAACTGAGCTACAGCAAGGAGCTGACAGTGTTGGTTGAGTTGGTTGGGGAAGAAAAAGTTACTGTAATGGAACTTTTAAGGGCAACAAGTGATGTTTGTGGACTGGTGGTTGGGTGTAGATACATTGGTGTAAGTAAATATGAAATCACAATGAAAAATCAGCACGGGAAGAGGAAACTGTTGGACGGATTTAAAATCAAGA